CTAACTACAGTGGAACTTGGTGTTTTTTCTGCTATAGTATGTTATGAAGGAACGCCTATGAGATAGCAGGTCAAATTGGAAGAAATTTTCTGTGTAAATCTGAAAGAACCTTCAGCTATAATGGGGTTAACACTTCAGGATAAAAGATAGAAAATTTTATAACTTGGAATGGGATTTATTTCATCTCTGCAATTCAAACCATAATAAGACCAAAAATAAGGGATGGAAGGGGGAATAAAAAGTGAAATAAGTGTGAAGGGGAAAAAAAAAGAAGCATCAAGAAAGGAACAGTGAATATGGAGGAGAAATCATGTCTTTTTTTAAAAAAAAAAAAAAAAAAAAAAGATTTTCTTAGCAATAAATACACTAAAATTGCCTTATAAAATACAAATCAGCTCACCGTCAATGAGAATGGCTGAGGTAGGGGACCTGTGCATGTTAAATCATGATGGGATGTGTACAGAAGATCTAATGACTCACAATGATACTGCATATTCTTAAGCTTTCTATTATTTTTTTCTTTGTTGTCATGGCATCATCAGAATTTTGATCTGAGTAGGCTTATTCTCCTGCATTATCTATCTGTTTCATCTGGAAAGAGTTTTGTTTTTATCATTTGAGGAAGGTTTATATGGAGTTGTTTTTTGCTAGTTTCAGTACTGGCCCAATATCATTATACTTCTAATGAGCATCCCAAGTTTTTGGGAGCATCATAAGATTCTCTTAGAGGAATAGTGCAGTGAAAGTCAAAGGAAGCTATATTCTGAGCCGTGCAACCCATGGAAGCGAAGGAAATAGTCCTGTGGGCTTTAATCCCTTGCTGTAGGTCTGCTAGAGCCAAGCAGGCAAGCTAGAGGGCTTCTTTGACCCTTTTCTGTGCCTCATTTTCTGTTACATATTTCCCTTAAAACTGAAATTGCTGTTATATCTTCAGGTGGTAAATGTGAGGTATTCAGATGCTAAACATAATTGAAGGCCATAGTCATTACTGTCATAGAAAACCCACCCCTCAATGACCCTTTTTCAAAATGTCTAGCTGTTATCTCTAGATTCACCCCAGTAAGGAGCTGCTGGAGTGGTATCTTCCAGAAGTCAGTCCAATCTATTGATAAAAGCCTGGGATGCTGAGTGGTTCCTGAAAGATGCTTCCTACTGCCACTTAATAGTGATGTTAGGGACAAGCAATTTAAAATACATAGCAGACTGCTCACAGCAATGAAGTCAGGGAATTTATCCTCCAAGAGGCAATTTCTTATTTTATTCCTGTTCTTTTGCTAGTGACTTTTGTCATATTGAGCAAGACAGTAAAAGCTAGGGCAGAATGAAATATGATATCTTTCCCATGAACATTTCAAAACACACTTGAATAGTTTTTTTTGTTTTGAAAATGAATTATTTAGTTTTATACTGTGAAAGGGAGAAGAATTTTCTCCATTTGGATTAGAAGTAGGAAGCATTATATTATTATTTTTACATTTCAATGCTCGCTTTTTAGCTTAAAAAAAAAAAAGGAACTGGGAATTAGTTGTGGTCTTCTTAGAACCTACAGAATTATAATATGTAAACACATATATGTTTACATAAACATATAAATGCATAAAAATATTAATAAAGGGGTGTGAATATATGTAGAGGTAAGAATTTACTTGAAAGCAGCTGAGATCTTCCTCAAGCCCAGTTTCTTTCTTCTGGGAGATCCTGAGTTTTCAGAGTTTTAGAGAAGTCCTGAATTTATCAGGTGTGATAACCTTGCCTTGCTGTATATAAGGTCTGCCTGTGTCTGAATGTCTCCAGTAACTTTTGATTAAGAACATTACTAGAGTTCAGACGGGAATAAAATACGTGAGAAGTCAAGTGGATAAATTGGAGAGGGCTCCTGTACGCCATAGCGCATTTAAACTGCCTCACCCAAATATCAAAAGACAGTAACTATAAAAGTAGAACTGTGCAAGCAGACTTTACACTTGTGTGATTCTAGTTCAGCTTAAATTTTCAGCTGAGAGTAACAGTTTTTCCTTCTGAGCTCTCTGGTGACAAAGAACAATTTCTCTGTGTGGAGGCTGAACTTTCCACCTTACCTTAAAAGCTGCTGGTTCTTTAATCGATTGCACCAGTCTTGCTAACAGACCTAGTGTAGAGTTCACAGTGCAAAGAAATTCTTCGCTATTTGCACTATTTTGTTAACCATTATTGATATTGAGAAAACAGTTACAGGCTTTTTCTGCTGTGTTGCTTTCTGTGTGAATGCCCCAGTGGTGTCTTCACTCTTTTTCCTGAAGCCACAGTCCTGTCCCCTCCCACCCCAGGGGTGTAGTTACTCCCATTTCACAGACATATAGCTAAGGCATGATCTGTAATCGCCAGGTTCCACTTATTTCGGATACCAAATCTGAGATATTTAGAAAATTAGTGGTATTTCACTCTTGTGTACCATGTCTTGTCACAGTAGATTCACTTTTAGAAATAAACAATTTTAAATATAAAACATGAAATAAAGAAATGGACTTTCATATAAAACATGAAATAAAGAAATGGAGGAACAATAACATCTTAAAACAGCAGAGCTATTTGTTGGGGACAGTGAAGATCTTCCCATAGTTTGGTCCGGCAGTGTCTGGAGAGTGGAAATGGGGAACAGTAAAGGAAAAAGTCACTGGTTTAAGCCTTTAGTGGCTAACTGTGATATAAAGAATTGTTGAAGAACATGTTTTGACAAAAACTCATTTTTGAAAATTTTATGAGAGTTTTTTAATGCATTTATTGTTTAAGTTATTCTCTATTTTGGGTTAATCAGTTATTGAATTTCTGTTGTCTAACTTTGAAGAAGAGAAATTCCCTAACTGGTTATGAAAGTGTATCCCAGAAGCAGACTGTGAGGTTCTATCTGCACATATAAAGCAATAATTTAAGAGGCTAATTTTAAGATCCCTTAGCACTTTGGAGTATTAAAACCTACAATAATAATAGATTATTGATGAATAAAATTAGTCTGTACTCAGTTTCATAGACTAATGCTATCCAGGTTTGCAAGCCTGTATTTACATTGTGTGTGATGTCTCTTCATTTGAGCCTAGCATGAGGAATTTTGAATGCTGCATCTGGGCAATCCCAAGCATCCCAAGGAAGTCAAACTATTAGTAGGTTCCTAATTTGGGGGAAACTGGAAAACCAGAAAAGAGGTTGGTAGTATTCATATACACAGTTTAATGCTTTCTCAGCCTTACAGAAAATTCTTAATAATCTCTATAAATTATGAATTAAGAATGTAAAACAAGTGAAATCTCTCTATTTTTTAATGGATTTAGTCTCTCTCTTCTGTTTCACTACTAAATAAAGTTGTGAAACTCTCCCTGTCTGCTTCTTCCTAGCAGACTTGGAACTGTTTTGGTGGATCTATCAGGAAGCTTTCCTCTTTTAGCTAGCTGTGTCTTTGTCTTCCCTTCACTTATATGTTTCTGTGGGATACAAGTCTGTTTTACGATTTTAGGAAAGTAAAGCAAATAAGTTATGTTATACTTAAAACAAAACCAACAACAGGAACAAAAAGCTGCCTTGCATGGTCCATTACACTTTTGATAATTACATATTCATGGCCATTATCCCATTGTTCCTATTTTTGTTCCCGTACATTATCACATGGGGCTCTAGGCTGTGTAGTGTTGTTCTCCACAACTAATATCATTTTCACAGACCATCATGGTCTTGACTACTGTAGATACTTTTGAAAGTGAAAACTAATCTATTGCAATGTCAATTAATGACATTTAAAAAAATAAGACTAACAGTCTAGAGTTGAAATAAATAGTAGGGAGCCCAAGGAGATGGAAGACTAGAAGAAGGTTTAGAGATAGGCCTATTAATCTCAGTTGGAGCTGTGGGTCAAGGTAGAATTACTCCCTTTGGCTAGCTTTGAAATCCGATTTAAATATATATATCCTGTAAGCAGGGATGTTGAGGACTAAGTTGGAAAGAGGGTAGTCCAGTAAGATGAGAAGTTTTTTGGACATTTGATCAAAAAGAAGAGATACTTTAAAGCATGCACTAAAACATTTGTTATGCATATGTCTTCGTTACTTTTTTATTTTTCCTTTCACAAACATCCATTACGAGTGAGAACAAAGAATACAGAGAAATAGGTGGCCAGATTGACTAGCAGAGGAAGGAGTAGAGGAGTGTGAAGGACAGCCAGCAGGGAGAAGGGGTAGGGAGGAGTGGCAGGGTTGGAGAGCAGCTCACCTGTAGGGCCAGCAGCACCTGGAGCAGTGCCTTGGTGTCTCTCAAATCTTGCCAGATCCACCAAGGAGGAGGGTGGTGTATTGTCCCTGTGGGAGAAACTTCCTCCTACCTCAGCATTTGCTTCATTAGGAAATAAAAGGCCATGGAATAATTTTGAGAATTAGGTACTGCAACTTGTTCATGTGCCTTGCTTGAATCTTTACGCTTCTCAAAATATCACGGTTCTTAAGTAAAATTAATTGATTCCTGTACATGTGGGGAGGGGAGAGAATAGCAGATTAAGCAGCACATAGCTCAGTGAAATTTTCATCTGTTTCTGGGTGAGGCTTGGGCTGGTGTTTTACAGTGAGCTTTTCTATTCAAACTTAGTCCTTGATGCCATATCTGGCAGAATAGCTTCACTGGTGTTCTAAAAATAGTTGGTAAACTTAAGCTGATGTAGCAAGCTAACAGGAATGCTGGGTCCTGTGGCTCTGTACTATCACACTTACTTGAGTTACTTAGAAATTTAACAGGTTATAGTTGAAATATCTCATTGAGTCTTTGCCAAAGACTATGCAGACTCCCTGCAGTGACCCTTGCTGAGTGGGTAAGGATTAGAGCTTGTGTCATTTCTTAGTTTAAACTGCTTTTTAGATTTCTTCTGACAATCATATTTGTCCTGCTGGGTAAACTGAGGCATAAATCTGGGAAAACCTTTTACAGAAGAGGTCATTTTCTCCCTATTAGAAAAGTTTAGTTGAGAGTATGTCATGCTCTCCCAGCAGGTATTTTCAAAGGACTATGTCTGTACTTCACAGGAGGTGCAAGATACAGCACTAGTCCACAGCTACCTGAAAGCTTAAGGTAAGTAAAGGGAAAATGATCACAAACCACCTGGAAGGTAAGGAAAAGCTCTGTTCTGTGGATGTGACATTTGAGGGGGATGGGGTTATGTTTGTGTGTTTTGATTTTTTTTGTTTTATTTTAAAGGTCAGAAAATGCAATCCTTTGCACTGGTGGTAGGTTTTCTACCTACCCACCAACTGCCAGGGCACACACCCTATGCCCTGCCTGGCTGCTTCTGCCCTTTCAAGCAGAGAGCTCACACTTTCAAAATGTTTGGGTATCTAGCTTGAAGTATGGCCTGTATGAAATATGTTCATCTGATTCGTGTCAGTATGGAACAGTGCTAGGGCCGCATGGTATGATGAATGTGACCTTCTGTCTTACATACCCTTGTATAACCACAAGTCTAAGAAAAACAGAGTGTTTAATGTATATAGTTCTTGTATCTTGCAAAGGAATGTTTTAGCAATTCGTGTCAATAGAGAGCTTGAAGGGAAATGTATTTGTAAACTTTTCCTTGAAGTCTCTGGTATCTGAGGGGTTTCAGAATAACTGCTAACTATTATGACTGTTGCACGGGACACTATGCAAGTCTCTGATATCTGGGCAGGAGATTAAGGAGACAGGGAGAGCTGAAGAACAACTAAAAGACAAAGCTTGCAGGGGACGCTGCACAAGTCTCTGACATACAGCCAAGTTGGACAAAGAAGAAGGACAAGAGGGAGGAAGAGTATGAGCATACAGCACGAGAGACCCCCAGAGGGACCACCAGAGACTGATACGCATGCTCCAGTGGGAGGGTTCAGATTCCAGGAACTAATTATAATAACCCTGCCTTTTCTAGAAGTAGTAATGAGTATGTATTAGCCTAGGAGCATAACAACCAGCCACCTGATGTAACTTGTGTGCGTCTTGCTGGACCAGAGACTCCCGGTGCACCCAGCACCGTTTGCTTACCTCTATTCCTTTAATAAATTGTAAACTTTGATTATAGTCCTATTTTGAAGACTGAGCCATTTATTACACTTGCAATGTAGGGCACTCTTGGAAACACAGACCTTTTCAGTCTGGCAGACCCCATTTGACTACAGGATGCCGGTACCACCCAAGATGTAATCATTTCCTTACACAGCCTCTACCACCTAGTTTTACTCCCTGCCACCCAAAATACTAGCACACTTTTGCCTTGGTTCTCTGTATTGTGATATTTAGCAGTGCCACTTAAGTAGTATATAAGCTAGGCAGATTTTTTTTCCGAAGCTATATTTGAGGGTATAATAACTTGTTTTTGGAAGGCTCTCCTATTTATACGTTGCCCAAAACAAAGTGGTAAATATAAAACATGCACTGTAGAATGTTTCTAAAAGTCATAGAATTGTAGATCTACCATGACCCATCACTAAACCATATCTCTTAGTGCCACACCCATACATTTCTTAAATAACTCTGGGGATGGGGACTCAACCACTTCCTTAGGCAGCTCATTCCAATGCTTGACAACCCTCTCCATGATTTAAAAATCCTTCCTAATGTCCGATCTAAACCTCCCCTGTCACAAGCCAAGACTATGAAGCAAAGCCATGCTTTCCTTAGAAGTAGGAGCAGCTTGAGATCAAAAATAACATTGGAAAGAAAGAAACAGGTAGGTAACGTCCACAGTAGGCATGTATCCTGTCTGTCTCCTTCAGTCAATGCTCCTGTTGCCTCCACTTCCCTGGGAAATTTTCTGCCAGCCATTAAAGCCTGCTCTGCAGGCTACTGAGATCAAAGAGAATGTTTTGGTTTTGTTGTTCATTTGTGTGTTTTTGTGTTTGTTTTTTTTTCCCCTAACCCAACAATATGCACAGGTACTGAGTTCATGGCTATTTGTTTCCTAGCACTGAATGGACATGTGACCACACAACTTCATCTGTACACTTTGAAAGCACATCTCTCAGAAGCATCTGGTCCTTGAAATGCCAGAGAAAGGGGATGCAGAACAAATAACAAGGTGGGTTTAATTAGCTCACATAATATTACTGCAATGCTAATGCTTTCATGTGCAGAGTTTGTACTCTAATTTCAGCAATAGCTGAAAATGCAGTTTTTGCTCATTTCATTTGTTACATTTTTATGTTTCATTTATGTTTTTTATTTATTTTTCACACTAGGAAATAATGAAATTATTATAGGACTGTATATTTAATAAATAAGCATCATAAAAATGAAATGAAAAATATTTTTCTCTTCTGTGTTTTTATTTGTTGTTCTTTATTAGTAATGCTAGCTGAAGTGTAGTCATTAAAATATGTATATATATAATGCATATTTGAGTAGGAATCAGGTGTGTCAAACAGAACTCTGGTAAGCAATTGGCATTTGACTAATTTTTTGCATTAATGTGGATTGCATTTGACTTTTATGGGAGTAGAATTTGGCTGCTGTTAGGTGCTATTTTAATCCTTTAAGAGAGAATGGAACCAATTTCAAGCTGGCCATTCCCAAATGCATTCAACTAGCTAGACTTGAGGGCCTTTTCAGTTCCTTATCTTCTTGCTGAGATCACCAATTTCTGCCAGAAATCTTCACGTCTGCCAGTATATTGAAACAGTTTTGAAATCACCAATGTATTAATAATAATTTCATTATTTTAAAGAACTTTACTCATGGTAAGTGTCTTGCTGTACAGAAACATAGAAATCTTATTCTGAAGAACTCCCAGCCTAAGCAGATGTAATAGCAGTAAGCAGAGATGACAGAGTAAAATGCTGGAGTTAACTGGAAAGGGAGAGAAGTGGGGTAGCAGTGATTTACTATGACAATTGGTGATAACGTACACCTGTCAAATTAGCTTTCATATTTAATGAAAAAAAACTATAGCTGCATACTTGTTTGATGTCCTTCATGAACTGCTTTTCAGGGGATTAATGGAGAAAAAGTTGCAGCAGAACAACTGAAGGGGGAGGTATAAAAAGAGGTAAATTTGAGGGTGTTTGCAGGACAGATAAATTGAGCACCATCAGCTGACGGGAGAAAAATCAGGGGGCGTTGCATTGAAGCAAGAAAAGGGACAGACATACAGCTCTAGGATGAAGGGAACAAAGCTGAAAACCTGATGCACTGAAAATGGTCAGAATGATTGTTGCCTGGTTATCTTCTTTATGCAGCCTTCGCTGTAGCTATTTCTATTAGGACAGTATTTATTCTCTGGTTTTATGATTCTCTGAAGTGGCTGTTGCTGTTACCAGGTGGATAATACAGATGAAGTCACAAAAATATTCCCAGGGAAGCTTTGCTTGTGATTGCTTTGTTGCAGAAAATGAGCACTTCATAAAATTCCTTTGTTAGTGTCTAGGCACTGTTGTGACCTGGTGCTGTCTGACAGCCCTTTGCCCTCTGTGATTTTGCTACTGATACCACCGATGCATTTTTACTAAATGTTACCTCCATCCAAGCACGGTGTCTAAGGAGCCTAAGCTGAATGGGCACCCATCAACCATGGAATTCCCTTACTGTAGCCTCGGAAAAGGATGAATTAGAAACTGTGGTACATGGCTCATGGCTCTTAGCCCTTGCCTGGATATTAAGAGCTAGTCATTTAGAATTGTGAGTTTTTTTCTAATTTGCCTCCTCTTTGTTTTGCAGACAGAATCTTTTCCGCTAAAGTACTTGCACACTTCTTTTTTTTTTAACTTTCATATTCCCAGGACACCCTTCTTAAGAAAAAAAAAAAAGACAGTCACCATTAGACTGATGGGAAATTAAGGCATACAAAGACCTCAGAAGTTTGCACGGATTCATACAGGAAATCTGCACCTGAGTATTACACTGAAAGTGCATCGCTGTAAGTACGATGACCTGATGCAAAATGCAGTTTAATTTAGAGAGGTCTATGCAGAGTATCTTCTTGCAAGTTAATCTATGAATTGCTACCAGAGTCTATAAAGGTTTTTGTAAAGCTGAATTGTTGGATTTGGGTAGGCCAGAACAGTAGAAGTAATATTTTTGTGCATTCACATTAGCTTGGATATTAGTTTCAGCTCTTCATGTCATTTTAATGCAAAATACTGATGGATATGGGAAGTGAGGCTTAACTCTTTTAATGCATTCCTGGCAAGCACTATATGCACTTTTCATGCCTAAAAGTGTTGCTTTCACATCACAATTTCCAACTAAAGTCTCCATTCTCTTATTAAACACAGGCAGAATAGAATCAGATAAATGATTAAGGTGTAGTACATTTGGTGGTCTGGTATCAAGAAATGTATAATTTGAATGGTATCAAGAAATGTATAATTTGAATGGAAATGTCTCCAAATTGAATTTTCAAGGAGGGAAAATTCACAGTTTCTGACTAACATCCTGAGAACTTTTTTTGAAATTTCTGTTCAATTTTTTTTTCCTCTGTGTGCGTGTGTATGTGTCATTTTCTAGATCCCTGTTTGCCATAAAACTTTCTCAAGAGCTGCATTTTGTAAACAGCCATTCTAGTAAATATTTCATTGGATTCTATGAGACATATTTTCACTTCAAGATTTTTCCTGCCTTCTTTGTAGTTATACTTATGCCTATTACCTATACCTAACACATAGCTATTGAAGTGGTTTAAACACTGATCATGGCTGACTTGGTGGTTCAAGCCAATATTTAACCAGCAAGCAAGATCCCAGGTATAATACTGAAACTGAATTATTTTTTATCTTTACAGCACTCTTTTTCAGAACAAGGCCTGAGCTATTTTATTAAAGAAACATATGAGGGTATAGAGACTCTTATAATGAGTGTGTAGAAGCTTACTACTTGCCCTCAGAGGAAGACAACCTAAGAGCTTTGAACCTGTTCTTAAACTGACTATATGTTTATATATATTTTGGAGGGAGAAAAGGATTTGGTTTAATCAACCAAAACTTATATTTCAATAATCTTTAATCCTTTTATTTTAATTTTCACCACTTATACTATTTTTTCACTTTTATATAATCAGTGTCTAAATTGCTTATCTATTTAGAAGTGGAAAATTGGATATATATACATTTAAGCAATAAATAAATAAAAAACACCAAACCAGATTTTCCGGATACTGGGGAAAGAAAAAGTCACATTACTATGGAAGTTTCATTTTGATGAAGTCAATTTATCAAAAACTTTCTGACCAGCTCTAGTTCCTCCTCCTTCCCACACACATTTAGCTAGTCCCAAACTCATTTCTGAGACAAGAGATTTTCCTTGCTGCTTCTTATAATTTAATGTGATGTCTTTCAGCAAAATCAACTCCCACAGAGTGACAGAAACCGGAGTGAGATTGGAAATTCCTTTAGTTGGTCAGAAGTGATATCAATGTCTCTGATTCAGGGGAGCATTTTGTAGAAGTGACTTGAATGTGTTAGCTTTTTCTGAATTTAATAAAACACCTAGTCAAGCATTACACACTTTGCAAAAACAGTCCAAACGCTACCAGACTAACCATCTTGCATGCAAAAGAAAAGACCGTGGCAGACTAAAATGTACTGCTACCAATATCCAGATTTAGCAAAAGTAGTAACTTCTCCCTTATCACAGCAGCAATAGTCCTTGGGAAAACCATTCATTTTCTGAAAACCTATCAGTATATGTATAAAATCACTGTATCAAATCAGTGTATACAATCACTCTGGGGAAAAAAAAAAAAAAAAAAAAAAAAGCTCTTATCAGAATAAAGCTTCCTATTATAAATTAAATTTTAATAGGGCCTTCAATTTTTCAAGCAAACCAGATCAAGCTTTTGCCCTTTTTATTGTAGCAGTAACTTCAATTATCAGCGCTGTAATTAAAGGCATTTCCATGGTCCAAATAGTGCCATGGTGCTTATATAATAGATTATCTATACCCATTACTAATGGAGTGGGAGCAACATAACTTCCTAAGGTACTTCTCCTCTCTTCTTCCTCTCAACATGAACTAACCTTGCTTTCAGTCAAAGTGGTACTTGTGGTGTTTATAAATGGTTTATTATCATATATGTCCACATATGCTGGAATTGCAAGGTCAATCTCCATTTTCAGGTGAGGAGGGGGAACAACAAGTAAGTTTTGATCATGTGAGGTCTTCCCTTTCAAACAGCTCATACAATGTCCCCATTGATTAAATTGCAGGTAATGGAAAAGTTCAGTGCAGTGAAAGTTGCTAAGACACTTGTTTCAGGAAGGAAGAACACTGTAACAGTCTGCAGAGATTTGACTATATGTTCTTGGTACTCTTACTGAAGAAAAACTGATAAAGAGTAGAAGTATTGGGTCATTATTGCTGGAGAGTCATTGCACACAATGGAAGAAGAGCTTCCATTTCACGTGTGCAGTTGTAGACTTATTGTGGTTGACTGTGGTTGCTTTTTAAATAAAAGCCTTGACTTATTTCTTTATGTTCTGTTGCTCTATGTCACAATTAGCTTTGATGCAAAATTTGGTTCTAACAGACAAAGGGATTTCCTACTGCATTCTTTCTTCCTCAGATGTCATCTTTAAGTACTCCATATGATTATTCAGATGATCTTTTCATGAAGACCAAATTGTGTTGTGACATCTTATTCTTTCTTATCAAGCTCTCTCCCCAAATCATACTGATGCCTCACATGTTCTCTTCTTGACTTATAATAAGCTGTCATACTTCTGGAGGGGATTCACCAAGAAAGTGTCTCAACAAACAATGCTGCCAACTCAGTAGCTGATGTGCTTGATACAAATATTTCTGTAGTTACCAAAATTGACAGACTTGTATGAGTGTTAAAGCAGCAAAGAATTTCAGGAAAAGCTCAAGAGACACTGTTTTAAGATTTGATTTTTTTCTGATTTAGGAGGTCATTTTCCTTGTACTGCTAGTAAAAGTGAGATCTTTGCTACATTAAAAAAAAAAAAAAAAACACTCATTTTTCAGGTCTAGAGTAATACTGGAAGTGGAAGACCTAGAATTCCTCTGAAGAAGATTTTTTACAGAACCCTGTGGAAAGACATATCTTGTCAGATTCACTTAGCAACCAATATTCTTTAAAGATGAATCTTTCACTGATTCAAAGCAATACATAAAAACATTAAGAATCACCTTCCAGCTATTTAATAGGATGGCTACAATACAGTTAATGGGAAAATTGCTTGGCATTTTCGGAACCTTCAAAGACTCAAGAGAGAAACGGATTTAATTCTTCCCAAGTCATATTGATTCTTACATCATGTTCAGTTTGGATTGATCTCTTTGGAATGAAGGTTTGGCACTAAAGACAATTCAAAAATGTCAAAGAACTGCTGGGAAAAAAAAAAAAAAAAGGAGAAAATGTACATAAAGAACTGTCATCTGTACCGAAAAACATTTCTTTTCTTTTTTTATACCCACTAGGCTTTGCTTGTGTTTTTTTGTTGTTGTTTTTTTTTGTTTTGTTTTGTTTTATAAACTGGTTATCTGCATTTGTTTGGAAAAGCATGTTGCATGAGTCTGCTAGAACTGCTGAGCTGTGGTGGGGCAAGATTCCCAGTTACCAACACTGAGTGAGGATTTTGTGTCAGCTGCTGAAAGATCACTATAATCCAGATGCAGAGAAAATGACTTACTTATTTTATTAGAGAAATAAGCCCTCCATATGTTTTATTTATGACCTCCAGCAATCTGATAGGACTGATATAGGGTACGCTGCTTTTGAGGGTCATAGTAGTTTCTTCTGAACGTTTGTCTCTTTGGCAAAACTGGCTTTATACAGCTGGGTTACTGGGACTTGCAGGCTGCAGTGGTTGCCTTGATATTTCTCTGTGAGCCATTAGGACAAAGGGATTAGTTTTAATCCTTTCCCAAGGCTTTTCTTCTTCTCTCCCTTTCTTTCCCAGCACACACTCACAACATGTGATGTTTATCTTTTTTTTTTCTTTGTGTCTACATAAATAGAGCTCATTGCTATTAACCTGACATTTCTGAAATGGTCATTAAATCTTTGTGCATGTCTGCTTGTAAGAGTGACTAAGTGTGGCTTTGGCCTTTCTCCTGAAGAGGCCTGTCTTCTGACTGCTTTGAATTGAGTGAGATGCACACAACATAAGTTTTAGGAGAGAAATTCCTTCACACATCAATGCCAGAAGAACTGTGCAAGTCAAACAGGTAGCAAATGTAAATGACCTGTCAAGAATGCAGAGCAATGGGAGAATCAAGGGTAATATCACCAGCATGTTGTGGGGGGGTCTAGAAAGACACACAGCCTTGTTGCATGACTATTTGAAAAGCAAAAATCTGTGGCATACTGAATAGCTGTTTCACAGCACAGCCTTCTCTTTTTGTGACTTCAGTCTGAGCCTGCATCAGTCTTTTCCAGAATAGCTGCTGCTGCCCAACAGACCCTTCTGATTCTATTTAATCATTTGGCTATGGCATTGTTTACACCAGAATCTGTCTGCAATACAGGATTAGGAAAATAAACTGATGAAAGGTGGGGAAAATAAACAAATCTTCATTTCACAGTCTGTCAAGATTCCCTAGTTTCTCTTTATTGCTCAGACCATATGGTAACTAGATTATTTTATTATCCCAGTGCAACTGTAGAAAATGGTAAGGAGTGAAAAACTACCTTTGTGTTTCTGGAAAGGGAGATGGGATTTATTCATTAATAAGTTCATGTTTTTATTAGTATTGTATGTTTCCCATCAGGACGATCAGACTGGCTTTTAAAACCAAATTTTTTTTAAAGGAAAATCCTCCCCAGAAAATTGCAATGGTGATTTTTATGTCTATTCATTAGGATTTATTATTTTCATTTAGCTTTCAGCAGTTGAGGAGACTTGAAAATTCAAGTCAATCTCCTTCAGCAGATTGCAGTGATAGTGATCAGAGGCA